AACCCACACCGGGTTCCGACGACTCTCACCGCTTCATCCACACACAGAGAACTCACGAGCAGACCGCCCTGCACCCCGCCAGGTTTGCCTGCTCACCTCCAGTCGCAGGATCGGCCTCCAGGGATTTGATTGGTCGACGCGCGCGCTTCCGGAGCATCCACCCACCCGCGCTCCTCCTAGGAGGGTGGACACTCATGTGTGACGTCATCAGAGCGCGCGCGGTGTCCTTATAAAAGTTTCCCCCGCCTCCCAAATGTGGCTAACGTACTTTGTGAAAGGGAGGTCCGATTTTGTTAAGTCTTGAACCCAACTAAGAGAAAAATTATAAGATACAGCGCTTTTAGAAGAAGCACACTATTATAACAGCAGCAAATTAGTAAGTACTAGGATCTCAGTAACCTATCTTAATTCGCTATCTAGTTGTTTAATCAGTCTGAAACATTTGAAACCAAGGACAAGAACAAAAACTCCAGAAGTTCCGGAAGAAACCCAGACAAGACACAAGCGACAGACCCTCAACGCCCCCGCCAGCTTTGTTCTCTTCAGGGATTTTTTTATTCAACAACCAGAAAACATTTCAACAGGTAAGTGTGGTGATGAGACGAATCGTTCGTTGCCCATACCCAAAGTGAACCACGTTATACCCGTCAGTAAGTTCAATATTAATAGCTATGAGTACCCACAGTGAATCAGACTATTACCGTCGTTAGCTTAATAATATTTATACATTAGTAGCTAGAAGTACCCAAAGTGAATCAAATAAATGCCCGTCGGAAATTCAAATGTAGCTTGGAGTGCCTAAAGCGAATCAGATTGTGCATGTCAGTTGCTCATTATTAACAGCTATGAGTACGCAAAAGGAATCAGATAATGTCCGTCAGTGGTTCATTATTAGCAGCTTGAAGTACCCAAAGTGAATCAGGTTACGCACGTCAACAGTTCAATATTGATAGCTACGAGTACCCATAGAGAATCAGAAAATGCCCCTTAGTAGTTAAATATTGAAAATTAGGAGTACTCAAAGCGAATCAGATTATGTCCCCTAGAAGTTCAATAGTGATAGGTATACTAAGTACCTAAAGTGAATCATAATATTGGCCGTCGGTTGTTCACTTTGGTATGATACTGTGGACTATACTGTGGATAACAGTGGTTCGACTTCCTTGGGAAGCGGAGGGGAGGGCGGGAGG